GAATGGCTCATCTTCACCCACAGATAAATGTATTTCTCCACTGGGGACGGTGTGCTCGCTCTACAGGGATGTTAACTCAGTTTTGGAAAAATAAGCAAATTCAGGTGCGAATAAAAGGTCACAGGTAAGAGGGAACTATGAAGGAATTTCTAAAATGCAAAACACCCTGTGCATCCAGACTCCTCTTGTACATGTTCATTTGTTGTGCCTTTACCACTCACTGACCTCCCCCCACAGTGCAATTTAACAAAGGAGAATCCTTGCATAGATTAAGACTTAGCTACTTTTCAGCAAAAATGGCTAGAGACGCCTTTAAGCAGGTAAATTGTCTTTCCGCTGGTACCCTTTATTTCTGTTCAAAATTGGCAAAAACAAAACCGCTTCGTTGTGTGTTTTGTAAAATGAAGGCTTCCCAGATTGCTGAAAGATTTAATGATAAAATTTAAATGATAAATGATAGGTGCATCAGACTGTGTTTCAGAAACAGACCCTTTACAGGTCTTCAGTTGATTGTTAAAAAGGAGAGAATGGGTTGTCTCCAGGAATTTAACTGGTTTAGAGCGGCAAGGTGTGGGGTTGTTGTTCCCGCTAAAGAACATGGATACAGATGTCCTGTTTTGGTTGATTTATTTGGCTGTGGTCTGTAATAATACAAAATAATAATCAGTACAGCAAACACCATACATAACACAAATACAGATACACAAAATAATTAAGGGTAATTAAGGTGCAAAGGACTGTATGCAACTCAAATATATCACAGGTGTCATATAATGTACACAAATCACCTCACAATATATACAGTGTGACTTAGCTTATTAGCTTAGGAAACGCTAATACAACAACAGAGATTGCGTATGCACAGCTAAACGAGTACACAGATGTTATCATCCAGTCAGACAGGTATAATGTTGTGTTAATCTCACCTTATGGCATTTACACACAGCAATAAACCAGGGTGATAGAGGTGAATGTTGAGAAAAGGCGAAGGAGATTACAGTATATCCACCGGAGAACTAGCATAACAGCACGGCGTTTCACACACGTGTGGTACATTCAATAGCGTCGGAACGGCTATGATACGTTCAAGAACGTGGGACATATAGAAACTTACAGAGAACAGGCTATTACTGAATGGAACTTAGCTCAATAAACAACAATACATTAACAATGTGGGCTTTCTAACAGGGGGAAAACCCATGTAGTTTTTTGCATGTGCTATATATGTAATTTTTGCCTGGTCTATTTAATATATATCTGCATACTGGGGTCCCTAAACAATATTGGAATTGCTTAAATTGCGAATGACCGTAAAACTGAAACACTTGCTACCCCTGCATAAGTCAGTGCCTGAAAAAATCTAGACACGCCCTTGCAGACTATAATAGTTGCAAATGAAAAAACTAGATCACAGCAGCTGCTTGATTTTTCAGTATCTGCATATTTACTGGATAAATAAGTTGGTGGTGGTTATCATACATGCTTCTGCCCAATTAAAAACTATATGTAAAACTCTACTTGTGAACAACAGTTAACAATATTATTAACATAAGAATTATATTAAAATGTCATTAATGATACTTTTGTCATGTCTTGTCTAAAGCATAAAATACAACAACCCATTACGTAAAGTCACAGCCAGTGTTTCAGTGTTTGACTGATTGCCGTCTTTTCCTCATTATGACGTCTGGATGTCTCTTGTAATAACATCATACTCACTTATCATATTATTATGATTAAAGTGTCTTGTTTAAATGAGATAAGTCGGTATGTCGTAATAACAACAAAAACATCTTGGTTTGACAAAATGCATTAGTATTATGTAATAAGAAGTACGTTTTTCATATAACAAGAAGGTAATATGTTGTTGTTGTTGGCTGTGCCTATTTTCTATGTATGTTTCTTTAATCTGCATAATCTACATGTGCATGTACGAAACACAGACTGACTGTATCACTGACAGTGTTTGACACATTGTATTTCATTTAAACTTCCCAAAGTATATCTGTTATTCAGGTATCATTGGCAGTGAAATCCACACAATGTTGTACGTCTGATGACATCTCTCCTGCTTGTATATTGATACCTAGTTTCTTGGAAACGTCCTTCAAAAGGTACATAGTCCGGATAAAACAGGATTTTTTTGAAAACATGAGCAATCCTCCACTTCAAATTTCCCTTTAGCAGCATTGGCACTTGCCAATACAGAGTCTTCTTTCTTGCCCGATGCAACCACACTCAAGTCAGAGTACCTTTTGAAGCCCAGATCTGTGTAGCTGTGTATCTTTTTCGAAAAACCTCCTCTGAAATCATGCAACTTGTGGTCTGCAGTGCCCACCCCGTGCTACACCCCTGGCTCTAGTTTGCTGACCTCTGATGCCATCTAGTGACACAGCAGACAGCCAGACCTGCTCAGGAAGAACAAGCCTACTGACTGTTCCTGCCACACAGACTACAGCTCTGATCCCTGTCAAATGTCAGCGCCTCTTAACACGTTCTGTCCAACTTGAGCAGATCACAGATCATTTGGCACCTATTTTTATGTGGAGATGTGAAGCATATAAACTCAGTGCTACAAACACGCACACACCCACTTCACAGATGCAAAACAGCTGCTGATTTGCATAAGTGCCTATGTTCTGCCAACAGTCTTGCACAAAAACACATTATATGTCAAAAGACTTTTGTTGGCAATGAACATCTTCACACCATCATCTACCACCGAAGTGGTTTAACATAAAAAAAAACTGCAGGCCCTCAAACGAAGAAGGGAACAGAAGTCTTCACAGGGTAACCACTTCTCAAATGGTTATCTGTTCAGTGTGGCTTACTATTGTTTTACATCATGCGTTAACAAAAAGACAACAGTCTAGTTTACTGATAGAACAATGGGGCATTCAATTGATGAGACTTGTTTTTAAAACATTTTACAAATGCCCCACACTGGAGCAGAAGGCACAATCTGTCTTTCTGTACCTTTTCCTGTTACAGTTGGTGTGTGCGAGGTAACAGGGATGGGACCCAAATGCATGCATGTTGGTCTCCAAATAGTATCCAAAGATGATGATAGGAATGCTTTACAGGGCTCATTGCGAGTCAAATTAAATTAAATCAGAAAAAGTTGGAAGTGTCCCTTGAAAATGTTGAGTTTAAAAAGTGTATCTTCCTTTTCTCTTCCTTTTATTTCATTCTGAAGGCTGTTTACAATGATTGACAGAGCTAATAACAGCTAATGCAATCGAATATTATTTATTCAAAGGAAGAATTTTCAAATGTCCTCTGATTATTAATTGTGCATTGGTAGGCTACTGTATGAACAACATATATGTTCATTTAATTTGACTCGCCATGAACCCTGTAAGGTATAGCATCATCTTTGATTAGAGGTATCTATATTCATCTATTTGGAGACCAACAGCAAATAAACAAATGAGCACATCTGGAAAAATCTCAGTAGAGCTATCTTTTCATCAAAGGTTATACAACAGAAATAAGTAGTGTGCTTCTCCATGCGTCTCCCATAGGCTTCAATTGAACTGGCACCAAACAGCATTACAATGTTGGTGTTATGATGTAATGCTCCTTCCTTCTTTTAAAGTTTCCTTGGTCGATACCAGAAAGGCAGTTCAATCAGGCAAACAAATCCTGAGGGGCAAGGCCTCCTTTCCTCCTTGCCTCGTGTAAATCACACGGTTCTCCTAAGTGACTCAAATGTTGCCTCATGCTCCTCTCCAAATTCCTCAGTGTTCCTCCCTACCCAGCCCCTCCAGTTTAGCCTCAGCACCCTAACCTAAAACCACCTGTTTTTGTTCTTATGAGGCCAATTTTTATTAATAAATATTTTATTGTAGAGTTCATGTTTTTATTTTATTTTAAACACAATTTATAATAATAATAATAATAATAATAATAATACACAATAACTAACATTTGTTTAGAAATATCCAAGAGTTAAATAACTTGTAAATGTAGGTAGACAGGTGATATATAGAAAACTATTTAATATGTGTACACAAATGTAATTCCTGCTGCTACATTATACTATATAACAACAACAACATAAAGATTTATTTTTCTAACTGCAGTGCTACGTGGCATTGTTTTTCCCTGTGAAAGGTAGAAACTTAATTTATGATAACCCTGGAAGTTTGTGGGTTAGAGAAAATAGAATGAAAAACCATTGCATATTCTTGGTATAAATACAGGAAAAGTCATCTTAAATTAGACAGTATGATAATGGAGTGTAAATGTGGGTCATTCTTATGTGAAAACTCAATGCCACCACTTTTAATTAAAGGTGTGCCTTTTATGAACCATGTAAACATACTTACCAGTGGATGGCAACACTTGCCCATGGCAAACCTGCCAGTGGCATTTATTATGCTCTGAGTTACACTGAAGTAATGGTATAGGGAGACCTGTGTTTATGTTCTCAACCTTTGTTCTGTGCCCCTACTGATTTGCAGGTGTGGCAAGATAGTGGGATTTGATGGTCCCAGAGGCAGAGTACATTTTTTTCTAACTTGTGATTATGCAGAAGAAGAAAGAGAGAAAACAGATAGAAAAAGTTTTTAAATACATTTGTTTTCGTAATTGGGTTGGCTCCATTAAAGCTGCAGTGGGTAATTTTTATAAAAATGTTCTTTTGTTTCTTCTAGTGGCATTTGTAAGAATCCACCTTTCAGTGTATATGACAAAATAAAAATATGGATTAGGTGAATTAATTTTGAAAATAAAAAGTACCTACTGCAGCTTTAAGATAAATGAAAAATGTGCACAAAACAAAAATGAACACAACAGGGGCGGGTCCAGAGAATT